TCTGAGGCTTCTGTGGTGATGGTGGCTTGGCTTATTGTTCTTAATCAAATGAGCAATCCATTTGAGGCATGTACCCATTGCTTTGGGAAAAATGTTTATGATTTTTGTGTTGGAGATAAAATAAAGCAGAGAACGCAGCTCAGTAACCTCTCCTGTGTCCCACTGCAGGTTCTCCCCCCTCGGATGAGATTCACACCCTGAGGAACCAGCTGCTTCTGCTGCACAACCAGCTGCTGTACGAGCGCTTCAAGAGGCAGCAGCACGCGCTGCGCAACCGCCGGCTCCTGCGCAAAGTCATCAAAGCCACGGCCCTGGAGGAGCACAATGCTGCCATGGTGAGCTGGGAAGCTGACTGAGACACACTGGTGCTGCTAAAAGTGTTAATTGGCCTGGCTGGTGTCCGTTGGTACCACTCAATTAACAAAGAAGCCTCATTTGTCGCTTTATTGAAGTCGGTGTTTGTGGAGTGACTCATGCATGAGTTCTGTGTGCTGTGGTTATTAATGTCAGGAGTTTGGAGTTGGCTGCAGGCATCTGAATCCTTCCTGCTTGACCCCTGCCAGCACTTGCCTTTGGGTAATGGTAAAGGCTTCCCTGTTAGTGGAGTGGCTGTTCAATGCCTGGCTAAAGACCTTACTGCATATTTGATAAAGTATTGTCTTTTTGCACCTCAGATGAGGACTAACAGCAAAAGCTTTGGAAACTCAAGTGTTGTTTTCCAGAGGTGTTCACTGTGATAGAATTTGAAGATATAAGTACACTGAAGGATGTCTCAGTACAAATTTAGGTGTGTTTCATAATATATAGCTAATTCCATCAGCAGTTTCACTTTCTGATAATTAACTACAAGAGCCAAAAATAAACTTCCAAGTAGGTTTTGAAAGATGAACTGTTGCTTCAGCAGTGAGGCCCAAGTCCCTGTTGAAAGCATGAGAGGCAGTGGAAAGATAGGCTATTGCTCATTCATGCTTTGAATGTGGCTGTGAGTTTTCAGCCTGTCCACCCTTATCACCATTTCATCTCCTTTTCAGCCAAAACCAAGCCAAGCCCCAACAGCCTTGAGAACATGCTCTGTATAAAATGTGTGTGTGTAAAAGTGTTTTCCTGCATGCTGGTAATGACAGCTTTGCTTGGCTGAGCATAGATGTCCTAGCTGCTAAGCAGGTGTCTTGTCTGATGAATCATGTGGGTTTCTTAACAGAAAGATCAGCTGAAACTGCAGGAAAAGGAGATCCAGGCCTTGAAACTGAGTCTGCAGAAAGAACAGGCAAGGTACCACCAGTTTCAGGAGGAACATGATAATATTGTGGCTCAGCTTCACAGCCAGATCCGACAGCTGCAGCACGACCGGGAGGAATTCTACAACCAGAGCCAGGAATTGCAGGTATGAAGCAGCAACAAATTTGTTGTTGAAACCATTACTTATTGGTTTTAAAAATAACTTTCTTCATAAAGAGGCATGAAATACCTGAGAGAAAACTGCACATTTTTATTAGAGAGATTGTCCTGATTCAGAATAAGACAGTGCATAATTGAAAGTGCCTAACTTAATATCATCCTTTTACAGTCCTGTTTTGTCCTGTCTTCAGCTTGGAAATAGGAAAAGGCAGGTTCTTAGCTGGTTTGGAGGGGTCAGTATAACTTGATTTCCAGTGTTGGTGGTTTACAGCCTCCTGTGCCTTTGCTGTCCTTAGTGAAGTTCCAGAACCCTGAGTAATTTCTTTGTCCCTTGAACAGACCAAGCTGGAAGACTGCAGGAACATGATAGCAGATCTGAGGTTAGAGTTAAAGAAGGCAAACAACAAGGTGTGTCACACTGAATTGCTGCTTAGCCAAGTTTCTCAAAAGGTAAGAGGGTCCCTTTGTGTCTTTCTGATTATTTTTATGTGATAGTTTCCATTAGGTGCTTTTTCTTTCTTGAACTGAAAGAAGCCTGTGCTGAGCTCCAGAGTCTGATACTAACTGCACAAAAACAACACACAAAAATGTATTTTGGTGAAGAAACTCTAAACTCAGTTAAAGAGCTTCTGAAACTTCTTATTTTGGCTTTTTCCACAGCAGGGATTTGCAGATTGAGCATTATGAATTTATATTAAAACTGCTTAATCTTGACAACTGATACTGTTTATATCATAAGTTGAATGGAAATGAAAAGTTCTTTATGAAAACAATTTATCTAACACTTAACTACCTATGAAGCATTGGATTTTAGCCTTTGTTTCCCTTCTTCATAAAAATACCTGTGAACACAGTGCCTGTCAGCTGTGACTCTCCTGAACTGTTCATCCCAATGTTGGACTCTGTTCCATTTCCCTTCCCAGCTTTCCAACAGTGAATCAGTGCAACAGCAGATGGAGTTCTTGAACAGGCAGCTGCTGGTTCTTGGGGAGGTCAATGAGCTGTACCTGGAGCAGCTGCAGCACAAGCACACAGACACTACAAAGGTACCAGTGCAGAGGACTTTTGGGGAGACTTCCCTTGAGGTCATCATCCAGCCATTCCCAGCCCTGAGTTCAGAAGGAAAGGCTTTGTAACTTAACAGACTCTTTGTTCTGAAATTGATTTTCAGGGATTTGATTGTATGTTTGATCTTCTGTTCAGATGTTTTATGCCCTGTGGGTTTGAGGAATATCTTCAGTGCCCCTTCTGAAAGTTAAGAAAGGGTTGTTGGGGTACACCTGGGGCCTGTTTTAGCCAACTGATGTAAATTCTTAACAATTTCTTTTCCAAAAGTCAAGACTTCACTGTGCTCAAATGTAACTGACAGCAGATTGTTGGTAAAATAATGCAGGGTAGTAGTGCCAGAATTTGTGGAAAGATCTTAACAAGGATTTTACGGGTTTTTGTGAGGTGTTGCTTCAAAATGAGCATCTCAGCCTTCCCACTCAGTCATTTTCCTATTAAAAGTTAACAGTAACTTCACTGTGGTTCATATGGTTTTACTTCCTGACTTCAAAGAAACCTTTTTCTAATTAGAAGCAAGTAAATTACACAACAATATAACTGTTCCTGCGTGAGAGCACGTAATTAAAGAAGGTGAATAATACACTGAAAAGAAATCTTCTACTGGTATTTAATGAAGGTCGTGTTGGAAAATGGATTTAAAATAGAGTTTGTCTACTCTAATCCAGTGCAGAACTGGCAAGAGTGCTTTGATGAAAAGAGGTTTTCATAAGGAACATTAATGTGCTAATAAATTCCAGTGATGTGTAGTTATTTTAATAGTGTACATCCTCAGCAGGGCTGGTTTTCTATATCTGTTTTTAGAAATGCTGCTTTTATTCTGGCTTGCTTTAAAATGTGCCTATTTATAACATCAGAAACATGTCTAAACACCAATAAAAATAACACAGGATCAAATTAGACTTTACCATTGTGTTGTTTGCTTCGAGGAGGTTGAAATGTTGCACGCTGCTTTTCGGAAAGAACTGGAGAAAGCAAAGTTGTGTGTTCAGCAGCAAAGCCAAAGGCTCGATGCTTCCCAGAAAAGGATAGCTGAACTGGAATCTCAGCTTGCAAAAAAGGACCACCTCTTCCTGGAGCAAAAGAAATACCTGGAAGATGTTAAAATCCAAGCAAGGTAGGGGTTTCCTGTGTAACATTTTAGCTGTGCTTTGACAGATGCACTCTCACAGCTGAGGCAGAATCTGGAGATTTTGGACATTCTGGTTTCTCTCTTTGCTCAGGGGTCAGCTGCAGGCAGTAGAAAGCAGGTACAAGGCTCAGAAAAAAATCACCCAGGCGTTTGAGCTGGAGATCTTGGATCTGTTTGGGCGGCTGGAGAAGAGCAGTCTACTGAAAAAACTTGAAGATGATAAAACAGAAGCAGCTGAAGCAGCAGAAGAAAGGTGAGGGTGGTGGTGTGAAATCTGCAGGAGCCATGGGGGATTATTGTCAGTTTTGGACTTAAAAACAGTGGATGTGCAAAGCTGAGTGTGTGACACATTTGGTTACTCCCTGTCTGTGAGGGTGGTGGTGTGAAATCTGCAGGAGCCATGGGGGATTATTGTCAGTTTTGGACTTAAAAACAGTGGATGTGCAAATGACACATTTGGTTACTCCCTGTCTCTCCTGCTTTGCCCCAGAGGTGTGAAAGGAAACCTGTTGAAGTACATAGCCAGAGGCAGAAAGGGAAAGTAATCAAAGTAATCTGCCCTGGCCAGCATTTCCCTCTCCACTGTTTAATTACTGTGATTTCCTTGACACTGTGTCCTCTCTTTTCCCCAAGCAGGCTGGATTGTGGTAATGAAGATACAGCAGCACACAGTGAAGAAACACTTGGTAGAAATGGAGAGACCAAACCTCCCAGCACCCGAGGCAGCAGTAGCAGTAAGGGGGGCAGCAGCAGCGAGCTCTCCACCCCAGAAAAACCCCAGAACCAGAGGCTGAGCAGTCGCTGGGACACATCTGTGTTGCTGGAGCCCTCCACTACTGTCCCACTGACTGTAGGTTCACTCCCCAGCTCCAAGAGCTTCCTTGGAATGAAGGCACGAGAATTATTTCGCAACAAGAGTGAGAGCCAGTGTGATGAGGAGGGGGTCAGCATCAACAGGCTGTCTGATGCCCTAAAGACTGAACTATGTAAAGATCCAAGCATGGAGTCCAAGGCCCCTCCAAGCCCCGAAAACCTCTCGCCTAAGCTCCAGGAAAGCAGTGTTGGACAGCTTCATATCATGGACTACAATGAAACTCATCATGACCACAGTTAAAGAGGAAGATAGTCAATCAGTGTTATTTTCATATTCTTGGCATAGAACAGGAGGCGTGAGTGCAAGTTTAACTAAAAGCTTTTATGTTTCTTTGGTCTGAGCAGTGGCTCATGCAGTGGAGCAGGATCGATGGCCAGGAACGGAAGGAGGCTGCTGAATGAATGCAAAGTGGATTTTTGGGTCTGGAATTGAAAATGCCCAGCCTAACTCTTGCTTCTTTCTCAAATTCAATCCTTAGCAGCGTGTACTAATTTGAAGGGACAACTGTTAGCATTTGCAAGTATTTTTTTCCCCTTTCTCCCTGTCCCCAGTTGAGTGGCTGCGTTTATGAACTTGAGTGCAATATGAGGCCAAATTAACATTTGTGAGTTTACTCTGAATGCTTTGTATTTCTTTGCAAGCTTCCCATTTAGAGCAGTTGGTTGTGCTGCCTGTCCAGGTGACTTTGGTTCCTTTCATCCTGGAAAGAAGCAGCACTAGGATTTTCCAGTGCATTCTCTATTTTTGCCTGTCCACTCTCCCACATCCCTCAGAGCCCAGCCTTCATTAAGTTGGAGTATGATTGAATACCCAAATGTTTAAAGAACATTATACCTCTGCAAAATGATTCATTCACCCTAATTCATGATCATTGTTTATATTGTCCTTAACATTTCCTGGGAAGTTACATTTGAACAGACAAAAAGGAACTGGAGCTTGTAATGCAGAAGAGACCGTAAATGCTGAAGACTTGTTAAAGCACCAGCTTCAGATCTTCATGGTGTTTGAAGTGTTTGCCTGATTGACCTCACACTGGTTTGTATGGGAGAGCAGTTGGGGTGGGAGAAGAGGGAAGAGGAAGCTTTACTCAAGCAGGGAGAGGATGCAGAACATGGAGGTAGAATTCCAAGCTTATGAAGATCTGCAGAGGAGGATTTGCTTCTCTAATCAGGGAAACGTGCTGCCTCACCCGTCTTCATTTGTTCTTTGTTTGAACAAGACCACCATGTTTTGAGTCCAAGAAATTGGCTTCATTCTTCCTGGCAATACCTTCTCAGGCTTGCCTTGGAGAGCATGGTTTCCTTTGAGTGCCCTCCTACTCAGATTCCAGCGCATTTTTGAGTTCAGCAGTGTCAATTTGGCTCTAGGTCTCTCCCCTTCACCCTCATCCTACTTCCTTAGATGACAAGGCTGAGGAGGAATCCTGCTCACACTGAAATCAGAATCCTGGCGTGAAGCCTTTTGGTATTAATTATGTTTTAAGTCAATTATGAGCCTTCTGTGAAGGAGAATTGTGGGATCAGGGCTTGTCAGTGGTCAGACTCAATCTCCTTCCTGGCAGAACAGGGCCTGCTGTTAGGAAGGCAGTGCTTGTTTTAAATGTCCCCCGTGGCTGGGTCCAGCTGTACTCAGATGGTTCAGGCTTCACACTTCCCCTGCATCACTCGTGGCCTCTTCTCCTAAACATTCTGTGGGTGGCAGCTGCTGTTTAAGAACCACCTCACACAGAAATCAAGTCCAAGCACACTTGCATTTGTAGTCCAAATCCCTTCTTAGCCCGGGAGGGAACGAGGCTGTCAGAGCAGCTCAGCTCACTGCTGCCAGGCCTCGTGCTCCCCTTCCCGCCTCCTCCGTAACTCCAAGGTCTGAACACATTTCTGCCTGTCTTAAATTATTCTCCGTGTCCTTTCAGTTGGTCAGTCTGAACTCTGAGAGTAGAGGTGAACTTCAGTGGTTGTGTCAAAGCTGACTCTGCATGGAGTAGAGATTAGAGAGTTGGTTGTAAGTGGCAGCCTGGTTTTGTCTTTAGGCTTTCTCAGACGTAGTGGTAGCAAACGTGGTAGCGTGTTTAGGATTTGGAGCTTTCCTGCCCCTCTCCCACTGGATCCCAGCCTGGGCAGTGAACGGTTTGCACACGAAGGGCCTGATGGGCCAGCTCAGCTGGGAATGGTGGAGGAGCTCCTTCCCATCCTGCTCTGCCCAGCCCGGGTCTGGCGTTCCCAGGAGAGGCAGGTTTTGTGTCAGTCACAAAAATGCCCTGGCAGCAACGCAAGCTCTTTGGTAAGGTGGCTTTTTTTCTTCTTTTAAACAGGATTTTAGTACCAGGATAGTAATGGAAACCACTTTAGGTTTGTTTATGGACCACAAAGATTATGGAGGAACAAATTTTGCAATTTTCTTTCCTAAGTCTAAAAATCATGGATCTGCTGTATGTAGTTAACTTGCAGTTTGTTTGAAGGGGTCCCATCAGTGAAGTGGAAACAGATTTTTTTAACTGACTGCTTTTAGTTAAATCTAAAATTGCTGTCTTTGTCAAGTTAATCTGTTCCCTGCCTCGCTCTTTGTAAGCATGTTAAACAATCCACATTAAATGCCATAAATATGAAATACGAGGAAATGGTACAATCGTAAGCTAAAGAGAACTTAAACCAAAAGGAGGTTTTGCTGTCCTTATTAGAATGTTCTAAAATGTCAAGGCAGTTGCTTGTGTTTAACTGTGAACAAATAAAATGTATTGTTTTGCACTACTCTGTGTTAAATTCCCTGCCAGACCTTTTTGGGACCAAACACATGGAAGGGAGCTCAGTGTCCAAACATTTTCCCAGATGGGACAGTCCAGAGCAGGTCAGAGCTGCTGCCCCTTTGCACAGGATTCACCATTAGAAGCTCATTTTTCTGCATGGAGCCAAAGCCTTTTTTCTTTTCTTCTGTGCCAAACAAACTCACCAAAAAATGTGCCAGTATAATCCATAAATGAACTGCAAACAGTCCAGTGCTGCAAGTCTGCTCGTGAGCTTCTGCATGGCCTTGCTCCTGCAGGCCAGGACTGCACAGTGATTAGAGAAATTAATAGCTGGAAATGTCAGAGCCTTGTTTGCAAAGCTGGGGCTGCTGTCAGGAGTTGGCTCTGTCTGTGCTTTTCCCTTCCATACAGTGCAGACACGAGGACATTTCCTCAGACCGTGAGGAATTTTGGGGCCACTTTTTCTAAGCTTAACCTGGTGAGGTAAGGTTGTTCTCTTGTTTTGCTTTTTTCTCAGACTGGCACTTTCTCACTGGTTCTGGTCTTTCATTGGTTTTTATTTGTTTGTTTGGAGTTTTTTTCCCTTCTCTTCTTGAAATAAATGAATATTTGAAAGATTGCTCAAAGCAGTTTAGTAATCCATACACAAGCCTCAGCATTCCAATTAAGGACTAAGTATAATTCTTAAATATGGGCAACCCAGACAAGGGTCTAAGTTGTGCAAGTGGCACATTGTGAACATGCTTTGGCATGTTTTGTAATGTCTATGGAGAATTTTATGTAGAAAATACCATAAACATCATCTTAGAGTTCAGTGAGACAATAAATTGTTTGGACCCCTGCACTGGGATTAGTTCTACAGCATGTGGTAGTAAAATGAAAACAAAGCACAAAGTGAATTTAGCTTGCCCTTAACCAGAATGGGTTCAAAATAAGGCATCCCTTAAGCCTGGCATGGCACAGCTGCACTTACCAGTGTAAAAAGATCATCAGATAAAAATTACCCACAGAAGTGTATTACTGGGGTACAAGAAGAGAAAAATGAAGTGCCTTCCTTACTCACTAATGCCAAGCAGTACATCTGGCAGTTCATAACAGCTGATAATCACACAGGAGACATTAGGGAAGGAAATACTTCAAATTCAGGAAATTAAAATATCTGTGCTGATTGATCCTGATTTGTTGGAACTACTTCTCTGCTGGCACAATGGTGGATTTTAAAAGTGGTCACAAAATAGGAAATCACAGCAGTTGAGTTGCTTTGTCCGTTCACACGCAGGAGCTCTGCAAAGGAAGCCTGGGTTGCATTCCCAGGGGCTTTCCTTTCCAGACAAGACTGTTCAAATACTTGACTTGTGGTCATCACAGTTTTGGTGTCTGTGGGCTTTACTTGGCTGAACTTTTTTTTTCCCTGAAGGTCTTTTCACTCCACGTTTGGGCTGGCTGATCTCTCCTGTCTGCCAGACGCTATTCCTGGTTCCTGTGAAGCTGCCTGTGCTCCATGCTCAGCTGACTGAGAGCTCAAACTGCTGCTGCAGCACCACCAGGGGAATTGAGGACTCCCAGGAAAACCTCTCCTGCCTCGGGGTGTTTATGATGCGGGGAACAGGTTGGTGGTGACAGGGAACAGCCGCTGGCTCTTCTGAAATTACAGCCCTGGGGATGGGAGTGGCCCCGCAGCTGCCCTGGGCTGTGTCCCGGGTCTGGGTACCTGTGACCAATGTTAAAAAAGCCCTGTGGGTTCAGGACTGGGGACAGCAGGGTTGTTGGAGCTGTGTGGAAGTTGCCGGTGAGAGGTTTGGACACCGCTCTGAGGCGGCCGCTAGAGGCCCTGCCAAGCCCATGCCTCGCTCGCATCTCTGGGATGCGGAGTTTGCTCTCCTGGAACCGACCCTTCTGCCACTCCTGACACCTCGGGTGAGCTCTGGCCTGTCCTCTCGGTGGGTGAGAGGCTGGAGCCACACTGAACATACAGAATGATTCTCACAGAATGATTGATTTATCACAGAACTCTTTGGGTTGGAAGGGATCTCCAAAGCTCTTCCAGTTCACCACCCTGCACTGACTGGGGACACCCTCAACTACATCAGGTTCCTCATTTTGACAAAAGCCTGATTTGACCCTTAGCTGAATCAAGGGGAGCACAGAGATAATTCATTCAGATGCCAGGATTCTGTTGGTATCATCTATTACCAGCCCATGTGTCTATTTAAGCCTTTGAACAAAAAAAAGCAGCATTTATTTCCTGGACTAAGTGACAGATCTGTAGGAAAGTCAGGCTGGTGCCCTGCCTGCTTTCTCAGTGTGTATCTTGCAATTTTATGCTCACTGAGGCTAAAGTAAAACTTTATTGCACTTTTGTGTGTGGCATTTACATCCTGTTTATGTAAATTCTTCAAACAGCTTGATTTGTAGTAGAGGAAAACAATTCTTGCTGTATCTTTTTGTCTTTTGAAGTGTCCATCCACTCTGGAAGAGGAGAACTTGTATGGAAATTAAGTAATTTGTCTGGATGTTTTTGTGAGACTTAACTTTGCAGTCTTCCAACAGATTCTGGTCTTGTCATTATCAAACCTCAGACTGCAAGTTTTATGCACTCATTTTTCTGCTTGGGTCTTAAAATTTTGGCTGCATGACACTGACTGAAAGGATAGGGCTAGGCTAGAAATTATTACTAAGATTTGGGAACTGTTTCTTGCATGTATGAATCTTATTATTAAAATTTGGGAACTTTTTTGTGTGTATCACCTTGGTCAAGTGCAAAATGTCAACTGCACTGGAGTTTTGAGCAGCAGTGGTGGACTGGCTTTGGTAGGACTGCTCTGAAAAACCATTTGTGCCGTGCTCATCCCTGGAAGCTGAAAGTGAGCTACAAACTGGAGGATAATTTTGGTCTCCTCACAGCCTGTGTGATCAAATTTAAACCATAGGACAGGGCCAAGAAGGTTGGAAACAAGATCTGGGAATAGCATCTCTTGTGTCCCCAGCACTTGTCATCATTCAGTCTTAGCAGCTTGTCCTGAAAACCTTTCCAAGGCAGCAACTGTCACTTGTCTGCACCATGGAACACAACAGGGCAGCTGCCACAAGTTGGATTTTTCAGCCTGAAGCTGCCTCTGCACCATGGATCTCAAGTGAAGCCAGAGAGGGTGACAGTGACATTCCACTGGCTGTGGCCCCAGTGGTGCCCAGGAGCTGCTCTGTGACCCTCTGTTACCATTTTGAGTTCACTAAGGTTCAGTTCAGTTGGATCAAATCTCCCTAAAAATAGGGCTCTGCTCCAGACTGGGAGGGTGCATTGAGTGCAAGTGGATAGGAGAAAGGAAAAAAGTGCAAAACAACGTGAGGTTATGTGAGGAATAAAAACGCTCCTGGAAATATTTTCCATTTCATCTGAGCTGTTATTCCATCCTATGCCCCCTCCTCTGTATTAATTCTTCCTTCTGTTTTTAGCTGCTTGTTGCCAAAACCTGGTGATTTTAAGGCAAAAGCTTTCTCATAGCAAACTGAGCCTGGTATGAAAGGGGAAATTGTTTGTTCAGGAGTGTCTTCCAGCAGGAGGTCATTTGGAGGGGACAAGAGCAGTCAGACAGGGTGGACACTTATTTAGGAAGGGCTGTAGGGTCTGAGACGTGCTGACCTCATGCTCCTTATTTTGAGCCCCAGGGCCATCGTGGGCTTGCCCCTTGGGTGGGACATTAGCCTAATGTAACGCTAACCTTGCCCTGAAGCAGGGAAAGCACAGGCAGGTCAGTCTGCAGTTTGAACAGGAACCATCTGAGCATGATGCTCCCACCACATTCCCATGGATCACGTGGACTGGAAATGGCTTTTAATTTGTGGAAGTCTGAGGAGCACAGGGCTGTTTTGTTTGGCTCTTCTCAGCACACACAAGCTAAGGGCAAAATGAACTCTGCTCTCCTTTACATCTCCAGCTCTGACAGCACAGGGGTCAACAGGTGTAAGGGGATATGTTTTGAGGTGTGAGGAGCTGCAGGAGGCTGCAGCAGAGCCCAGCTGAAGAGCACTGGCCTCTGCAGCCAGTGGCAGCTATGGAAAACCCCCTTAGTGTCCTGTGAACAGGGATTCTGTGGTCCAGCTAAACAAACGATTTCCCTGAGGGTGAGGGAGGTTTAGAGACAAATCTAAATGTCAAAGATGTGTCTGAATCCATAATGTCAGCCCTTTGCTGCTCTGCATCCCATCCTGCAGACAGGCAGCCTCTTCACCCCCTGCCTGTGGCAGCAGCGAGGGGATGTTCCTCAGGAAGAAGGCTTAGAAAATTTAAAATACTGCTTCAAATGACTTGTCCCAGATTCATGTCTGAGAGTTTAGAGCCTGCTGAGTCCTGAGTGATCCCTGCTCCCATTGCAGTGCTGGCCCAGGGAGCTTCTGTGGGGATGTGAGGAGCAGAGTGGGAACATCAGCAAGGGAGGGGGAATGCACGTGTCCCGGGCTGGCTGCAGAAAGTGGGCTCAGGATGGCTCTCTGGTGTTCATTGCACTGTATTTGATCAGCCAGGTGCTTAAAGGTGTGAGCAGACGATGCAGGAGCTCTCATCCTTTAATAGGGGTGTTTGCCTGGTGGCCTCCAGGGTGCCTTTTTTGGCGGAGGTTGATTTGCCGCCAGGAATTTCTGGAAATCTTTTTCCTGCAATTGCACAGTATTTTCATTACTATCGGAGGTCTGAACTGCAGGTTCTGTTTGGGAAGCAGGTGTCTCCTTCTTGCACACGGCACACGAGGGACTCACAACACAGAGCAGCTTCCTCTTGGAGTGTGTGACCCATTCCCTCATGCTGTCTATCACGATGGGCAGCAGGCTCACCACCCCTCCGTAGCGATGCCTCGCTTCCTCCAGGCTCAGGAGGTTCACAACACGGTGGGGGTAGCTGTGGGACAGAGGGGAGCCATTGGCACAGGAGCCCTGGCAGCCCTGGCAGCCCTCAGAGCCCAGGGGAAGCACAGGAGCCATTCCCCAAAAGCACGGATGGAATTGTCCATGGAGGGATGGGTCCTGCCAAAACCCACCCTGGCACAGGCCTGGAGTGCTGCAGGGCACACACAGGCACTGCCCTGCAGAAATCAGCTCCGTGCACTCAGCAGCAGCAGCAGCAAGGAGGGGGTGCCCTGCCTGAGCACTGCCGGGGCCTCGGGGCCCCCCCTGCCCTGCCCTGCGCCCCGGAGGGGCTGGACAGACACAGCAGCTCTCTCGCTGTGCAGGGACACTGGCACTGCTTGCCAGGAGCTGCCACAGCGAGCTGGGCACCGCCCTGAGCCCTCACGGAGCCAGGCAGGGGCTGAGACAGAGCTGCTGTAAAACCAGGGGGGAATGAGCAGCGCCAGCCCCAGCAGCGACACCAAATGCCCGGAGCCGAGCCGGGCCGGGCCGGGCCGGGCTGGGGAGGCACCTACGTGGCTCGCAGGGCAGTGAGGTCGTTGCTGTCGTTCAGGAGCACTTTGCACTTCTCCAAAAGGCCCTTGGTGACGCTGTCCCCGGCGTGCACCGCCTCCATCCTGCGGCAGAGGCAGCGCAGCTCGCTGCAGATGGACACGAACATGTTGAGGACGCGCCTGTCGGTGGAGTTGTAGCAGTGGTGGTCCTTGTAGCACTGCACCTGCACGGGGGGAACGCCAGTGCTGCTGGAAACACAGGATGGGAACACCCCAAAGGGGTGAAAAGGCTCGGGGACGTGTGTGCCACAATCCTCTTCAGGCAACGAGCAAAGCCCTTCTGGCTGGGAGAGGCAGCCCTGGCAAGGACAGCAGCTCACGGAGTGTCCTCGTCCTGGCAGCAGCCTGGCTCTCACTCTGCCTGAGCCACCCAGCTGGGTTTGGGGCTGAGCTCTGCCCTCTCAAATCCACAGCTCTGATTTGATTTAGATTCTTTCCCCCCCTCTGCCTCCAGGTGCTCTCAGTTCTACTTTTCTAAAGCTCTAAAACTTCCCAGAGAATTCACTCAGCAGCCCAGCAAACCCCGTGCCCATGTGGGACTGCCAGCCCTCCATCCCTGCTGCTCCCTGTGTGACACAGCCATTATTGTTAATGAGCACTCTGGAAAGCCACAGCAGCACCAAGAGCAGGGGCAGAGCCAGGCCTGCTGCTCCTGCAGGCCGAGGGTCACAGACTGGGCAAGGAGCCTTGGTTTCACTGTTTTCCTTCAGCCTGTGTTTAGACTGGGCAAGGAGCCTTGGTTTCACTGTTTTCCTTCAGCCTGTGTTTGTGCTGGGGAAGGAGCCTTGGTTTCAGTGTTTTCCTGCAGCCTGTGTTTGTGCTGGGGAAGGAGCCTTGGTTTCACTGTTTTCCTGTACCCTTGTGTTTGTGCTGGGGAAGGAGCCTTGGTTTCAGTGTTTTCCTGCAGCCCGTGTTTGTGCCTGTGCAAGGAGCCTTGGTTTCAGTGTTTTCCTGCAGCCTGTGTTTGTGCCTGTGCAAGGAGCCTTGGTTTCACTGTTTTTCTGCAGCCTGTGTTGTGGCTGGGCCTCAGCAGCGTTCAGCTGAAGCACAAAGTGCTGCTGAGCCTGGAGATTGCTGCTGGGATCCCGGCAGCCCCGCACAGGAGCTCTCTCCCCACCCCTCAGTCACACACAGACCTTCCTGGGCCCTTTGTGTGCACCTTCCCTTCAGCAGGAACACTTCCCCAGCCCGGGAGGTGCCCCCAGCCCCTGCTGAGCCCTTTGTGCCCAGGGCTGTGTACCTGGACAATGGATGACACGGGCCTGATCAAGTCATGGGCTTCCTCCCGGCTGCGCTCCAGGGCTCTGATGAAGGTGAACTGCTGCTGCTGGAAGAGCTTGTACTTGTCCTCGATCTTCCTCAGGGTCTCCACCACCTCGTTCATGTTGGCTTATTGCTGGATCTGGGGGGGGAAGGAGAGACAGGAGGCTGCATTTGAGAAATGATGCAATTCTGTGTTTGCCCGAGCTGGAGTTGTGGAGGTCAGTGGAAAACTTAGAAAAAAAACCCAAGCCAAACAAAAAAAAACAAAACAAAAAAAAAAAAAAAACCCCCAAAACAAAAAAACAGTAAAAAAAAAAACCCCAAAAAACCCCCCAAAAACAAAACAAAAAAAACCCAACAGAAAACAGAAACAAACAAACAAAAAAAACCCCCCAAACAAACAAACAGTAAAAAAAAAAACCCCAAAAAACCCCCCAAAAACAAAACAAAAAAAACCCAACAGAAAACAGAAACAAACAAACAAAAAAAACCCCACAAACAAACAAACAGTACAGGCCTTTCAGAGCAATCAGAATAAGCCCTGATTCATCTTTGCAAAGGATGTAGAGATATACACACTGTAATATTTAACTGCAGGAAGTGTTGAGTATGTACAAGTGACTGAGTTGATACATAAAACCCCAACCCCCACCCCCCCCCCAAAAAAAAAAAAAACCGAAAAAAAAAAGAAAAGAAAAAGGAAGAAGGGGAGCTGTGTGGGGCCGAGCCCCGCAGCCCCAGCAGGCACTCAGGGCCCCGGCGCTGCCGCGGCACGGAGCAGAGGCAGCGCCGGCCATGCGGTGTCACAAACCCCGCGGGGCTGTGCCAAAGGCAGCGCGGCCGCGCCCGAGCCGGGGGGACCCCGGGGCAGCCGAGCCTTCTGCCCCGGCCCGCGTTCCCCGCGGCTCCTACCGGGCGGAGCTGGGGCGGCGGCGGGGCGGCAGCTCCGGGACGGGCCGGCACAGCGTCCGTCTCCATGGCAACCGCCGGCGCTCCGTGACGTCTCCCCCAATCACGTTGCTGTAAACGCTGCCGTGGCCACGCCCCTGTATGGCGATTGGCCGCTTCCCGTCGCGCGGTGATGACGCCTCCTTAGCAACGAGTGGCGTTGCTAGGGGCGGCCATGGCGGAGGACGCGGCCCGGCCGTGGCCGCCGCCCGCGGGCGCCTACGCGGAGGAGCGGGGGCTCTTCCAGCTGCTGCAGGTGAACGGGGAGCGCCCGCCAGCGCCTCCGCGGCGCGGGGACACCGGGGATCGGCGGGGAGGGGCAGCGGGGCGGGATCCTGGGCACGGAGATGGGCGGGTGTCCGTGTGCGGGACGCTGCCCTGGGCTCTCCCAGTTAATAATTTTAATTGGCATTTACCGCGGATCTTAAGTGTAATTTGATTTGCGGAAGAAATTGGCATCCCGTGGAAGAAAGGAGTGGGTGGAAGGCGAGGCAGGACGAGGAGGAGGAGGAGGAGGAAGGGGGGACAATGCCAAACGGGGTCGCGGTGAAGGTTCTGCGGGGCTGAGCCGGGGCTGTCACCGCCTGCTGCTCCTCCCCCGGGCACAGCCCTTCCCCCTGCCCTCCTCTTGTGCCTCTTCGCCGAGGTGTCAAAAATAAAGCGAGAAAAGTTCCCTTGTGGCGTTGTTGTGGTTGCGGTTCCTGGCCGGGCTGGTGCCCCGGCTCTAGGGAAGGCTGGGGTTTGTTCTGGAAGTTCGGGAAAAGCCTTTGTGTCGTGCGTGGGGAGGTTTGTGTGGATTTATAAATGTCCTGGTGCCGTCCTGATAGGAGAACTTGCTGGAGAGCTGCTCTTAACTCTGCTAAAATGTCAATTTTACTTGCTCGGAGCTCACTGAAATGCACACAAATGTTTATTTCCTTTCCTGTTTTTTTTGTTTGTTTGTTTGTTTGTTTTTTGTTTTGTTTTGCTATAATTTTTTTTCTCTGTTTATTACTTTCCTGTTTTTTTTTTTTTGTTTTGTTTTGTTTTGTTTTTGTTTTGCTATAATTTTTTTTTTCTCTGTTTATTATGACTAGTGCAGCATAGCATTTAAGATTTTTTTTTTTAATGAAATATTGTGTTTTGCACGCCACGAGGCATTGAATGCAGCTGCAGGGACTCACATGACATAAAATGTTTGTGGGATTTACTCAGGGTGGTATTTTTGTGCTTTGGTTGTGTTGGAGCAGAATAATGACACAAACAGAGCTTGAAATTGCTGTGCTAAAACATTTACAAAACACAAAATGTAAAAACTATGTGAAACTCAAAATATGAACTTCCCCCAGAGATTAACAGATCAACTCATGTGAAATTAAACTGAGTTCAGCAGAATTGGATAAATACAAGGGTTTGGGCAAGAAACAGTGCCAGTGTCAATCACTGTCAGCCTGAACATTTTTGAATTATAATAAACCCAGATTTATAATAAACCCAGATTTTCTTAGGTTTGTTATTCATAAAGGTGCTGGTAACTGTAGTGCAGAATCCAGATTGTTTAGTTTAAATAAATGTTGCTGGAAAGTAATAATTTTTAAATGAACTTCCAATAAAAACACAAATTTCATCGTTTATGCTCTGTGCTACCCAGACCTTGATGCATCAGAACTTGCACCACCACCAGTTCAGAAATAAAGTTGAGTGTTTTAATTATTCTAATGAAGTGGATGAAGCAGAAAAGGAAAATAGGCCACTCTAATAAGAGACAATCAGTCGGTGAGGATATAAAATGTTATGGACTTTATGGAATTTAGTTGCAAATATAAGAGTGTTATGACTGCTCTTTAGAAATGTCTCTTCCAGCACGAGCATTTCTGCAGCTTGTCTAAATTAGAGCATTAGTTCTGTTTGATGTTTAGTTTTAATTACAGGACTCGTGGCTGGGCTGAAATGTCTTGCTAGGAAATGTATGGAGTTCTCAGAGGTTTTATTTTTTCTGCCTGTAAAGCCCAAATCCTCCCTGAAAGCACTGCAAGCTCCCCACTGCTGATGGGAGCTGAAACAAGGCTCTGTATAACCTCATTTTCAACATGAAAATGGGCTCCAAAGCAGAATTCCAGGCAAGGCTTTAAGCCTTTTTTTGCTTTTTTCTCCCCACTGCTTTTCATGCAGGAGCCAAGGCTGGTACAGGTGTGAAATGTGCATTTCTGTGGTTGTGTTTTCCACAGCTCTTGTCCTTTCTGCACTCCTCTGGGCTAGTCAGAGGCTTGTGGGATGTGCTAGAGAAGGCTCATCTTGCCCTGCAGAGACACAAATTGAAGTTAACTCTGGTTTTCAAACTCCTTGCATGGTTTTTATGTCAGTGCTGCCTCAAACATTTTCAACCCCAGGCTGCTCCAGCCAAACCTTCCTGGTGTACCTGTGTACCATAAATGAGCCAACACAAATAGGTTGGGTTCTTTCACTGGCAATTTTCTGACCATCTTCAGTTGTTCAGCATCTAAAATAGGCTCTGAAGTCTCAATTTTGTCTGTGAAAAAAAAAAAAAATAAGTATTTATAAATTGTTTTGTGAAAAAAAAAAAAAAAGCATTTATAAGCCGTTCAGGATCCTCACTGTAACATTGCTGTAAGAATGCGAGATATCACGACTGCAGGGCCGTGTTAAACCTTCCCCTGACTTTGCCCTATTTATTTCCAGAACATGCTTGAAGAGCTATTAATTCATAAGCCAGATGACCCCATTGAGTTCATGATAAACCACTTAAAGCAAAACAATGACGATGGTAAGTGGGAATGGAGACACCAGAAGCAGCTCAGCTCCTGATTTGTAAACAGCTGCTGGGAGCTGCGCTGCCCTTGGCAGTGATGGATCAAACTTTTCAGGCTGAGTCTTGGGGAGGGGGGAAACAAAAAAAAACGGTGAGCATTTTGGAATAGTTATAGGCAAGATGCTTTTAATTTCTTTTTTTAGTGGGTAATCTAATAAGAAATGCACTTTAACAGTTATAACAATGAAACCCTCTAAGGGAATAACAAAGAGTTCTGGTGTATCAATTATTAATGCCTTCTGTGCCCCATCTGATATTTCCTGTTGTCTTTAAGCTCGCTAATTACTCCTTTTGTCAGGTGTAAATTTGGGTTCCTATTCTACCTGGGCTGGCAGATTCTCTGCTTTTTGATTAGTTTGTTACTGGTTGCTGTTAATGAGTTCCTCAGCTGAAGGAGCAGTGAGTGTGTCTGCTGCTCTGTGGAACAAAACCTGGTAAATTGAACGTGGAGTCTGTATTCTGCACAATAAAAGCATGTACCCTCAATCAAATTATTTGATTTACAAACTGTTCACCCTTAGGCAGATTATATTTGGATATGCACAAGTGAACTGCAATTTTTGTTCTGCGTGAGCTGTCAGGGAGAGCTGGTGTCATGGAGCTTTGATGTTTCTTTAAAACCAGAGTAAACCATTATGAAAGTTCTGCTGCAGCATCAATGAAATCATTATCACTGGAGGTGCTGTGAGTGGTGCTGATCAGATGGATGGTGATTGAAATGCTGCTAAATATGTTAAAGGGGAAAAAAATCAAATCCTGCAAATTGTGCCCAGCCTTTTCTGGTGCAGGCAGCGTGAATAATCAATCTGGTTTGTAAACCCATGGAAAATATGTGGAAGAATTTCCTGCAGTCTGATAGAATGCTGATAAAATTTCTTCACATTGGGCCAACATTTGTCCTGAAGCCCCACAGTATTATTTTAACAGAGTTAGGCAGGTTTCCATCTCATGACTTCAGTACTTAGAGGCTAAAGACAGAATTACAGCAGTTGTTTGTCAAGGGGAAAATGCTGTCTGCTTTTGGTCTGGAAACCCTGTTAAGGAAGGAGAGGAGCTCCACTTAAAATTAAAGCCTAAATGTTGTTTTAAGACTAAATTATATGGAAAATAATGTAACAGAAATGTGTAGCAGAGTTGATTTTACTTTTTGATCATGGTGGAAGGTGCTGACTATTTAGAAGAAAAAAAAACCTTATTAGAGCCATCAGTAAAGTGATGAATTTTCATGATCTTGCCTTGCCTAGACAGTTTTAGCCCTAGAGAAAATTTCAAACAGAGATGTGTGGAAAAGAAGCATTGCATCTATCCCAGGTGTGAGGTTAGAAAACCTTTTTAATTAATAATAAGATCCAAAGTACTTTAAAAAATATAAACAAGTCTAATGGTGATTATAGCTTACAACTGCCTTGAAAATCTTGTGGGTCAAATGTGTGGCAAAGTGTTTGTGCTTCGGGCTCTGTGCTATTGTTCTTTCATGTGTTCCTTCTAAAAGCCTTCAAGGGCCACATAAAGACTGATAATTCTTTCGTATTCAGAAATGCAAGTTTTTTACGTGGTATCTTGGTTTGTAATGAAAAAGACTTTCAGGGTCTGAGTGGTTTTTCTGTGAGCTCCTCCTTTGCTCTCGAACCTCTGAAGGAATGTAAAAAAGTTCTGCAAGAATGTTCAGTATGTACCCTGTGCTTCTCCTCTTTGACAAAGGATTTCTCTTACAAATTAAGCAAATTTTGCTGTATTAATATTAATAATAGAATCTTTTGGATTTAAATGGAATTCTGTGAGTCCAGTTGTTGTTTTGTGCTATTCCAGGATTCAAATAGGAACCCATCTTTAGGAATAGGAACCCAAATTTACACCTGACAAAAGGAGTAATTTGTTGTTGCTGAAATTGTTGTTGAATGTTAGAACTTGCTTTACTTGGATGAGTAAATCCTGTAGCATCTCATTGAGATTAACACAGAATTAAATATGATTTGTTACCGAAGAAAAAGGCATTTCCCAGAATTTCCTGCCTTCATGTAGCTGCTGCTTTGGAGCTGCAGCATTAAATACAGTATTAAAATGACTGTTTGTTGGTTGGAGGGGTTAAACATTACACCCAGTGGTGTCCTGGCAGTGCCCCTGTGTGATATGTTTGGGGAGAAGCCTTTAGAGGCGTCCTACAAGTGTGCAAATGAGTAAATCAGTGAATTACACTGCCCCATCTGCTGCCAGCCACTAAGCAGAGAGCAAACCAGATTTAGTACAAAGTGAGCATTTACAGTAGCCCTGGGCAATATTAAAGCATGAGATGGTGTATATAATGGTATGTTTCGTTTTTTATCAAACGTTTGTCCAAGAAAGCTGTGTATTAAAGCTTCAATACCTAAGGGCTTTCTTGTGAATTTTAAATCATGCTCCTAGTTAAACCTCAAAAGGATCTGTGGATGGAAAGGTTTTTTGATTTTCTTTGAAGTGGTTTGAAGAAGTTGATTAGTGTTGGCACCCAAGCACTCTTTTATGACGCTGTTTATAAATAATTCCTAAGTACCGGGCTGGAGTTTCAAGGTGTTAGATTTTAAAAAAACCCTAGGATTTAATCACATTACATTTGAAAGAAATTAGGTGATAAAAACAGCTGATGTATCCTTTTAAAGTATTTTTCTACATTGTGTACTAGTTCTGTTGCACTTGCAAGAACCAATAAGGGGGGAGTTGTTCTTAAACCTTCCAAGTCAGATAACTTTGTAAAGATGAATCTGTAATTTGGGTTTCATGTATGTTTAAAAATTGCACCTGCCCAGTAACTGTTAAGTGCATGGAAGGCCTCATGAAAATACATTTCACATCCTTGCCTGTCTGCTCCCATCAGACACGATCTCCCTTGGTTGTGGAGAGCTGAGGAGGTTTTTGGGTGAGTGGATCCCCCCTCTGCTCTGACCCGTCTTACTCCCAGTAAATACTAACCAGTCCCTCCTGCACAGACTCTGATTTGGGGCTTTTTTCCTCCCCTGTGGTATAGGGGGAAAAAACATCAAAGCTGTTAATATAAAATGACAGTTCAAGGGATTGCAGCCCAAGTGTATTTATAGAAAAAGTTCCAAATACTTTCCTAAGAGCAACTCCATTTTCTCGTGTTTGTCTCGCCTCTAATTCATTCCCAACCAAGCTCAGGGCAGTAATGCCTATTGTGTTGTGTGTGTGCACTGGATTAAGAATTCCTCAGAACTGGGATGCTTTTTTTTGCACCTTGCCCCCTCAGGGAAAGGAGAGGGACTTGCAGCAGAGAAACACAAGAAACAGAAATGAGGAAAATTACTTTAAATGGTGACTAGAAAAATTGAAGGCAGCTGTCAAAAAGCATAGTGAGGGAGTCCTTAATTCTGCAGTACCTAAATCTTCTCTGAGCCCTGACACAACCTATTTAGGTGAAATTAAAAACTGAAATATTTTTTCATCACAAAATGTGTTAGTTCCGAATCAGTGTTTCAGGAATAAAAGTCAAACTCAGGAATGAAAATGTTTGTACCTTATGGTTCACCCACTGAACTCTCCATGTGTTTAAATGGATTGAGATATACATATCTCATCTATCTCTCCAAGTGGCATGGTTAGAGTGTTAATCTCATTGACCACGGAGATTAAAGGAGGACCCAGCTGGCACTGATTTTCTGCTCCCCATTTTTTTCCCCAGTGGAGCCCAATCCTGAAATCTCCACTGAGGCAGCTTTCCAGCTGAAATAATTGTTTCATGGTGGCTACATTGATATTATGGGAAACTGGTGGGGATTTTTGCTGTTCTGCACCCTGACGTTTGCATATCCTTGTTCCATAGCTCCAAGAATTTGTGTCCTTGGTCCACCTGCTTCTGGGAAAACTACAGTTGTGAGTACCTTACCCTCAGTGTTGTAGCACTTACCCCTCTCTTACTTTCTACTGAGCTCAGCATTTTGGTTAATTTTATTCTGGGAAAAGAATTTTGAGATCTAGCCAAGTGATGGATGAGCACAAGACGAATTAAAGGGTGACATTCCTGAGGGATACACCTGCGTGTTACACTGCAGGTTAAATAGATATTTTCAAGTGAGGTCTGTGAGAACTCACTCAGGTAGTGAAACTACTGGAATGCAACAGAATTCTGCCTGCCTTTTTTCCCCAGCCTTTTAGCAGGACTAATTAGCCTGGGGGAAGTAAGTTAATTACACATTTGTGGTGTTCCCTTGCTGTGAATTGCCCCATTTGCATGGTCAGTTGTCTCATGTCCACTGGCACCATTAAATGCAAAGGTCAGCGTTGCATTTGAACCTCAGAAACGCCAGGTGATGCTGCTGAGGGCATGGCAGGAAGAGTATTTCCTTCTTTAAATTCTGTGTTAAGGTACAGGAGATGAAAAAGTCATTATTCAAAGCTGGATACTCTTTAACATCTTTATAATAAACTACTTAAAGTTGCTTATATATGTCTGTGTACTTAAATGTCTGGCTAGGAAAGCTCTGTCTTTCTGCAGCCTTCTGAAAAAAATTGCTTCATTTTCTTTCCAAATATTTCAACCTGTGTTTTTTTTTCTCCCCTCAGGCAATGTGGCTTTGTAAACATTTCAATGCCATACGTGTCTCTCAGGAGACTTTGTTATTCAAGGAAGTATTAATGCAGACAGAGGAAGCAAAGGCATATAAAGAAAGAAACCAGGTGTGTAAGAGAATATAATAACAGTTGTTCTCGTGTCACAGAACAGGAATTACGTGGCATTCCCATGATTTCCACTGCTGAGTTGAGCAGATGAGAGCCAAGACTCTCTTGTCTCTGTGTTGTACATTGGTGTGTCAGGACACAGAGCAGGGGCAGGAGAGGGAGACAATGCAAAGTAAAGGAGGTCTTGAAAATCCCAACCTTGGAACAAGCAGCAGAACTGGGGAAAATCCAGGAATGCACAATCCAGCCTGGAGAATGCTTCATTCTATTATTAAACACAGTGTCTTCTATCTGGGCATGTTTGATAATCTCGATAAAATAAGCATTAATCTCTGAGGTCTCCTTTGGTACAAAATGCTCTGGAAAATATGTACACAAAGAACTTTTTTTGATCTGACAGTGCTACTTAGTTGTGCATGCTTGATTTCTCTGTAGCATGACACAAATAACTTACTTGGTGCATTAACTCAAAAGGAGGATGACAATCCAGTCAGCTCCTGACAGCCCTGGAAGCTCTCAAGCTGAGGCAGGAGCAGCTGACTCAGATTGTTGAATTTTCCCCAATTCTGTGCACCTGAGTTGCTCCAGTCAGATTTTTAAATCCACTCATTGTGGGTATCCTAATTGATGTTCAAAGAACATTTTTTCCAGGTGTCATGACTCCTAGGATTAGCTGATCAGTAATTAATTGTCTCATTATTAAAAATTAGTGACAGATTGGAAAAACATGTTGAAAGGTTATCTTGAATACAGAGAAGTATCTGATTCCTGCCTTTTTGGCTGATTCCTTTCTCCAGTGTCAAGGCATTCCATGAGAAATAGATTGGAAGAAGTCTGGGTTTTTGTGAGTTTCTCTAACAAGTCCACTAGTTTGAGTTTGTTTTGTCCCTTATCATCTATTTTCATAAAATCTTAAGCAATTTCCTGTCTGTAGGAATTCTACACCCCTCCTAAATCCAATTTAGAATTGGAATTGGCCAACACATTTGTAATTTACTGAGATGGCAGATAGTGTGATACACAGATTTGGGCTTTTTCCCTAGAAAATTTGGCTAAAATAAGGTAGTGATTATAAAATTGGATAAAATACTGGATTAGTGAATGAAGTTTGGAGATGCCTCAAGTAGCACACTTCAAGATCTGAGAGGAAAGAGTTCCTTGAACTCCCTGAACCCACTGGCAAAAATGTTTGCATTTGGCTGGGGTGATATGGAATTATTCTTACTGAGAATATGTACTTTGAAATCTTAGTTCTAATTATTAAAGATTGTTTTGATAGGTTCATAAATTTATACTTGGAGGGGGAGAATTTAAAACAAAAATTCCCTTTGGTTTAATTACTGTAATTATTAACATATTTCAGACTATACAGATGCACTTTCAAGGGTGTCCTTTTGGGCTTATTTGATTTAAAAAGATGGATGGTGTGGAAGATGAAAGTCAAAAATGTCAAGGCTAATCAGGTAGTGAGGAGGGCCTGCAGAGTAGAGGCTGCTGGTGGTTCAGCACTGTGCAGTTTGCCTTTGGATTTGATTTTTAGACCCTTCCACTAAATAATTTTGTTCTTTTATATGAGTTTGTTTCTCTGAATGTAACTCCTGGAATTAGGAGGGAGCTCCTGGATTCCTCTAGGTTGGGATGAATGTTCAGGAGCAGAACAAGAGCTTTTACATGAGTTTGGATATAACAGGGCATTAAAAAGTTGTAGTCTTGGCCAAAGCAATTTAATAAATGAGGAGGAAAAGCAGGAGCTAAGGCTGTAGGTTTTGGAGAGCCTGGTGTGAAGATTCACATATTTTACCTACTCATCTTCAGCCAAGCTTTCATCTCTTTTGTGTTCACCCATTAAAGCATTTGGGTTTTCCTGGCACAGGAAGCCATGGAAGGCATTTTTGAAATCCATTATTGCTCTCTGAAGCTCCATTTTTCAAGTTGAACAAGCAATCATTCACCCACACATACCTGGCCACTTGCTAATGAGCACAGCTCAGGTAGTGAATTTTAAATACTGAGTGTTCAAAGCAAAATGTGATCATTCTGCATGTAAAAATACTCCAAAAGAAGTCAGATATTTTTGAATATTCAGTAAATTGAAGAACCACAAGCTACCAATAAATATTCCATGAGCAGAAAAAGAGGCTACATTTTTGGATAAATCATTGCAAATTATTCCCTCATCTCTAGTTATTATAATGTTAATAGGAAGCATCTTCAGGTTTTCCTATAGTGAAGTCTAATGATGAGCTATTGCATGTTTCACTTTTCCTGTTAACTGGATAAAATAAGAAGTTGAAACAACTGTGGTAATTGTGGGATCATGGGATGGGTGTGCTCTTAATGCTACACTAAATTGCAGTTAAGGTGTTGGCATAATACCTAATAACTTAAAACTGCTCCAGAGTTGTGTCACATCCCTGTGCTTTTAAAAAAGAAATAAAATGGAAGAGAAAAATAAATCCAAGGCATCCTTAACTATGCATGGTCAGCATTCCAACCTACTCCAAGGTAAGCCACTCTGAAGGAACAAAAATAAACTGTTCCAGGTTTGTGTATCCAAAAAAGACCAGCCTTTCATGTGTATTTATCTGGACAAACTAAATCTAAACATTCATGATATACTCAGGATCCTGGTAAATTTCTTCAAGCTTGATTGCTGTTCTCTCCAAGGTGCCAATGTGGAGAAGCTAGAAATTTTAGCTGAAGTTGTTTTCAGAGCAAATATATCCAAAATTTCCAAGAAAAATGTCTACTGAAAATGCTGCCCTACCAAAAAAGTGTGGGAATTTTATGAAAGGGAAATGAAATAGAACTCTGAGTAGACCAGACATGGAAATTGAAGTATGATGTTCCTGAAATAACATGGAATATTTAAAATTAATCATGAGTGGGTACAGTTTTTCAGCAAGTATGGAAATAGCGATTAAACCAGAAAAGTGGTTCTGAACCTGACCAAAATCCCACAGAAGCTTTTCCTTTACCTGCTGTGAGTGTTGGGACAGCTCTGTGGGTGAGGTGTGGTTTGGCTTCGTCAAATGTGTGTCACTGTCCATTGCTGCAGATTTCTGGGAAGTGCAACCCCACCTCCCAGGCTCACCATATATTTATGTGTTTATGAGAGATAAATTATAAATGGGCTGCCTGATATGTACCAGATACTCTGATTTCTAGTGGAATAATTAGGCATTCTGCAAGCAGCCTATTGAAAATGATTTTGTAGGCCACTGCTCGGTGGGGGGAAAACTGCCCAGGAAATGAGACTGGAATTGAGCCACAGAGAGCAGAAGGAGCTGAAACACTGAAATATTTCTGAAATACCTGAATGCGTGTCCTTGGTTGTTTTTGTGCAGCAAACCCCTCTCCAAAGGCAGGAGCAAGAGCAGCACTGCACGGAGAGAAGGGCGGATAGATTTGGTTTAAATTGGTTTGGCAGGGCTGAGCAGAGCAGCGTGCAGCCTGGTTTGACATGACACATGAAAGGAGCAGGCAGGCCCTGGCTGTCCCTGGGAGCAGCGTGGTGCCCCTTTGGAAGGTGACAGGTTCCAGCAGCGAGGGGCAGCAGGAGGCTCTGCCAGAGCACCCTGGGGACCCGCTGGCTCTCAGCAAACCCTGCAATTTCCTTCCCTCCTGCTCTGCTGCCTGCTCCGGCACTGGCTGATGTGAGGAGAGGCACTGAGAGCTGGGGACAAAAGAGATAAACAAAAGCAAACCCTGCCTGCCCGGCCCTCCTGGGCTCTGCTGTGTGTTCTGGAGCACTTTCTCCACCCTGCTTCAAAGTGCCTTCTGTGGGACCATTTCCACCACTCCTTGTGAGATTGCTTCAGCATCCAGTGAAGATGATTTTATGAAATCCTCCCACATCATCAGCCAGATTTTTTCACTGTATGAATTGAAGTTCAAAAGAGTTGCTCCAAAGAATATTTTTTCCAGGTGCCAGAGTCCCAGGATTAGTTGATAAGTAATGTAATTAATTGTCTTATTAAAAGACAATTGTCTAATTATTAACAATTAGTGGCAATTAGATTGGAAAAAATATGTAGATTGGGAAAAATATGTAGATTGGAAAAACATGTTGAAAGATTATCTTGAATACAGAGAAGCATCTGATTCCTGCCCTGTCTACCCCTCCCAGCCTATAGAAATACTCCTTTTTAGGTTTATACCCTTTAAAGTGGTTAGGAAAAAGGCATGAGAAGCCACAGGATGTGGAACTAAAGGGAACAGAGAGTCAAGCTCACATTGTTAAGTGAAAGATAATTTATTTTAATTGGGAGGTAGAGAATCTGATTGCAGGTTGGTTCTTTTCTGAGTATTCTTTTTACCAATAATGACAGAATAAATAAGACAAGTCATTTATTGAAATGATTAATGGCTGTCATGAGCTGCATGAGCAGAAGTTTAGACTTTGAGTTAAACTGCTTAACTCAGAGTTTAACCAAGTTCAGCACAGAATGAAAGCCTAAATTAACAAGCTAGTGGAGCAAATTCTTACTGGAAGGAAAGTAGAGTATTGCTGATTACTTGTTAGGAAATCAAATGCAATGGAAGAAATGTTGAGGGGTGCTGATCTGTATAGGAACTTTGTTCTTCTGTCACATAGCAAATACCTTCTTACAAAACATCTCTAGAGATGGGCAAAGCAGCAGTCACAGAACTAAACAGCACTTTGAAAATATTGGCAGGTGCAGTTTCCATCCCAATTCACAGTCCTGAGTTTAAAAATAAACTAAGTTCAACTGTAAAATATATTTTAAATAAACCTTTTGGATGATGAGAGTTACTTGAAGCTATGAAACAAACCTCCTGAAAATCAGGCTCTTTGTGTTGTTTGCTCAGTGTCTGAGGTCCTGTTTGTGTCACTGAGAGCTGGCAGGTCCCTGATGAGAGCTGAGCTGTGTCACACGGAGCAGTCAGGGTCAGACCCGTGTGGTTAAAAGGATGCTGGATGCGATGTTCTTCTGGATCCCTTTGCAGGTCTGATGTCCAATGTGTGTGTGTCAGTGTGCAGAACTTGGCACTGCTTCCATGTCAGTGTGCAAAACCCTCATGGATATTCATGCTCTGTGCTCAGCTTCCCTTTAACACTGATTTTTGTGCCCTTATTAACTCTTTGTCATTAACTCATGTTAATGACCCGGGACTCGCACAGAATTATTTATTTCTTTATTTCCAAGAAGACATCTCACTTCACCTTTAACCACAACGTGCCTGCATGGTAAAATTCCTTTTGAACTCAATTGTGAATATTCAGCCCTTTTTTTTTTCTTTTTTTTGTTTTGTTTTGTTCTTTCTTTAGAAAATTCCCAACGCGCTTTGGGCCAATCTGATCCAGGAACGTCTGTCAAACGTGGACTGCATCAAACAAGTAAGAATTGCTCCTCAGAGGGCTGCTGGATAAGCACTTACACAACTCGTGCCTGGTATTTAGCATTCCAAGTCCTGAGCAGAGCAGGGAATGGGGGCAAACCATGGGGGCTCCCGAGCTGCTTGCTTTCTTGAACATCAGCGGAGGGAGTTTGGAGCTTTATTAACAGGATAAAGGGGAGGATGAGAGTATGCATATGCTAATCTTCCAGCACAGAGATGATCAAAGGCTGAACAAGCAGAGCTTTGTTGATTGCCTGGGGCAACTGGCAGAGATGGAGTGGACAAAAATATAAACAGAAAATAGATAGAAATCAATATTGTTAAGGTTTTGGCTCTTCTTGAGGAGAGGAGTCTTAACGTTACTAATTTAGGTTTTATTTCTTTCTTGTTGTGTCTCTTTTTTCTTCCTCTGTTAGGAAACACTGCATTTGAATATATTGTCTTCTGGGTAATAATTAATATTTTCACTCTTAGCTTGAATAGGTTTAGTTGTGCTCAAAGCTGTGGCATCCCATGTTTCTTGCTCTATGTTTCATCATCTGGGAGACTGAAACAATGATTTTTGTAAGAAAAAAAAAGTAAAGGGATTTGCAGAAATCCTAAATAGCATCAACTTTTCTTCATAAAACACTGCCGACCTTACTCTATAATTGACCTATTAATGTTGAATTTGCAAGGTTGAATTAAACTTTTGTATTGCTGTTCACTGTGCTTGAATTATATGGGTCTGTCTGGTTTTCCTTGAAGGTCTTTTCAGCTGAGCTATTTTACTTCACTTTAACTCACTATAGTAACTTAGCACTCCAGATTATATATCTGGTAGCACTCAATGTATTTTTATTTGTAATAAATGCACACAGGACCTAGGCCCTTCAGCTGGCAGGAGAACCTGCATAAAACCACGTGTGGTACAGTGTCCTGTTCATTTGTGTGGTATTTTTAGTTCTTTTATAACAAGAGCTCTAAAACCTCTCAAAAATGCTCATTTTTCCAGATAGGTCTCTTTCCCTGATTAAAAGAACACATGTTTTCAGCAGCTACTTTTCCCAGTCTTTGTTAAAGTGAGTTTTACTGTCAGTGGACAAGCAAAATCCATCGCTCTCCACAGGCTGCATCCACCTTATTTTCCATCTTTTTTTCCCTGTGCTTTCTATAATTGTTGGCATGGCTTTAGTTCTCCTGTCAATAATGAGGGAAGGATCTCTCCGTGAGTTATTTTAAGTATTAGGTCATGTATGAGTAAGGTGACAAGGTGGTTAAAATGCCAACGGCTGCACAGAGTCCTGCCTGCATTTTATGTTCCTGTTGTTGTCACCAGCAGCACTGAATCAGTGCTGGGTGTCTTACAGAACCAGGGGGGAAAAAAAAACCTTATGAAGCTTCCCTGACATTCAGCAAGAATGAAGTGGATGTTATCAACCCAGCTGAGGTTTCAACTGGTTTCAGAAAAAAACACATTATTTGTTTTTCAAAGGTGTGATGCTTATTAAAAATCTTAATATTAATACATAGATACACACAAAGTGACCACAAACTATTTTCTCCTTTGAAAAGGGATCTATGCATTTTAAGTGTAATATTTTCTGTGTGTAACTCAAAGCAGAATTAATGCTGTAGGGTTTTTACATCACTGACCAGATTTATGCCATTTCTTTCAAAACATGAGTCAGCATGTTTTCACTGAAAATGTTCCCAGATTAGGAGCAGCATGTTGGACCACAGTACCACCAGCTGTTTGTTTTATTTCTCCTTGTGGTGTCATTGCCTTGGCATTAATTGTGCAGCTTTCATCCCACTGACAGTAGGAATACAGGATTTTTTGTGCCGTTGTTTTGACACTCACAGGTTTATAGATGTCACTGGCATTCTCTAAGGAGAACATTTTTATTGATCAACAGCTCTGCTGAGGCCCTGTGTTATGTGTTCTTGTAACACAAACCCAGTCAGGACTGTGAGGGATCAGGTGGGGAGGTCTTGCAGCACTCACAGGAAACTTATTGCAGACATTATGTTAGAGCCTGGCTCTTGTGAGGCTGATACAGAGAATTTTCATCTTGCAGGGTTAGCACAGCTTGGCTGCAGCCCCTCTGCCTGCTGGGGTTGTGGAGGGAATTCATGGACTGGAGAGAGATTGCTCAGGATGTGTTTGAGGGAGAGCTGAGCCATCTTCCTGCAGGGTCAGGATCTTTAGAAACCAAGCTTAGCCCAGTGAGTCACACAAAGAGAGGCAGAATGAGCTGAGATGGGCATTTTTTGTGGCTGCTCTTGAAAGGGAAGGCAAAGAAAAACAATAGTTCTGTTGGGCTTTACCTTGATTGGCTCTGTTTGGTTTTACCTTGATTGGCTCTGTTTGGGTTTTACCTTGATTGGCTCTGTTTGGTTTTACCTTGTTAGCCAAAGTTAATAATGATTTTACCTTGTTAGCTAAAGTTAATAATGTTTTCTCTGTGAAATTCCATGCAAAGACATTGATTTTACAAAGATTTATCCAGGGAGAGAATCTGCCTGTTCACCACATTTTCTGTTTTCTGAGAAGAATGGAACTTTTTAAAACATCTTACCCTTACTCCACTGACAGAACTCATGTGGGGCGTAAGAGGTTCCTTTCTAATGGGAAATTTGGCAAGGTTTGAGCACTTTCCATCATCTACACTGCTCATGTTGATGGGCTGCAAGAGCTGGGTTGTCAGTATTTCTGCTGCACTCCTCAGTCTGCTGTGCTCTGAAAATCTCCAGAATTTTAGATCCCTACTGGCAAAGCCATTAGTGATATTATTATTTTTTTTGGTGTATGTCTTATTTTCTGACCCCTTTCTTTATTTGGGAGTGAAAACCTTGTAATTCTTATTCAAAACCACTGAATAATAATGTGGAAAAACTGTTGTGATTACTTGTTTTCCTAAAAACAGCTGTATTCATGACCTTTGTGCTTCTAGCTGAGATTTTTTTTCCTAATGTGCCACATAATTCAGCATTATTTCTTTCTGCTGCTTCTTTTTCTTTATTCAAAGGCAGTGTCAATTTTGGATTTGGTAATTTAAAAAAAATATGGAGGATGTTCAGGTCAAATAACAGGAGGGAACTTGAATACCCAAGTCATTATTATTGTGGTGGAAAGTGTGAAAGTCTGTAGGCTTGGTATCATAGCTGAGAGAACTGCCAGCAAAGCAGAGAGATTTACATTTGGGAATGACCTTGAGCAGTTCCTTTTCTCCAGATTCCTGAAGTCTGGAGAGGAAAGTGATGCCTTTGAAAGTGCATCCTTGCTGCTGCTTTTCCAGCATGGCCTGGGTCTCCAAGGAGCAGCTCACCTGGCATTAAGGCAGCAGCAGAATTTCTGTTTGCAGGGCTCATGTGGGACAGCAGGGAGGTTCCAGCTGGGACAGAGGGAGCAGTGACCACAGAGTGCAGGCACCATGGAATTGCTCACTTTTAGCCTTTGTTCCAGCCTTGGTGTGATAAGGTGCAATCCACGCCTGGATAGAAGGGTACTGCTACCAAGAACCAAAAATAGATGGCTTCTTAAAGAAACAAATTTATCATGTGAAGTTACTAATTACACTTTAATGACAGTCAGGAGGGCAAAAAAAGACCAGTGTTTGCATAAAGCATGATAGGCATATTGTAAGTCAGGTCTTGCTCTGCTGTGTCTTCCTTCCTCTTGCTCCGTTCCCAAGCCACACTCTCTTTTCACTCTTTTTTTTTCTCCCTTTTTTTTTTTTAATTTTTTTTTTTTTATTTTATCTGTGACATCTGCTTGGAGCTTGTCCCTCCTGTGATAGCACACCACTTGCAGCTGTTCAGACCTCCAGCTCCGAGCTGTGCATGGGGTGCCCTGAGCATACGGCCTTTTTGATGTGTGATAAAACAGAACCGAGCCACTGGGGGTATGGAGAGGGGCTGCAGCAGAATATCAATAAACCTGTTCTGAACAAAGCTGCAGCCCCGTGCTGGAATAGACATTTCACTGAAGTGTCAAGTAGATGGATAATATATTCTAATTAGGGACTGACTGATACCCTGCAACTCGGAGACCTTTGGAAATCAGCTCCAAAATGCTCACTATTTTTGTACTGTGTGTTGGTTTTGCATTTGTTTAATGCCTTAAAATATATTTTCTGCAGGGAGCTATTTATTGAGCTTTGTTTTCCTAAATAGCCCGAACTTTTTGCTGTAAAATTGCTTATTGCCTGTTTTAAGGACCTTTGAAATTTGTGTGTAAACCTCTTGAAGTTTGCTGTGGATTGTTAAAAGTATGGATCTGTTATTGTTACAGTATTGTTTTTACTGCCTGTTGCACATTATGTGATTTGAGCCATAAGCTGTAGTGACTTCAGGTTTTGTGGGGCAATTTTTTTTTTTTTATTTGTTTTGTTTTAGTTTCCAAAAATGTTACACTCAGAGTGGAGAAAACAAGCCAGATTTATAGTCTTTGTAAATTGGCATCGATTTATTTGCCATCAGACCTCAGATGCCATTTCTCCCTAGAAGATCTGGGTCTATATGTGTGTATTTTGTACACAGTATATTCCAAACTAGTGCTGAAGTCCCTGGCATAGCACTACAAACATTGTTCAGCTTTGCCTTCTGCAAGTCCCAAGGGATAAATTGATTTCTCAGCACCTGTGTGACCTTAGCCAGTGGTTCATTCGAATTTGGCAGAGCAAACACTGGGAGTGGCAAAAATGGCTTGCAGTTACTTGAGTCTTGTATTTTCTACATCTGTCAGCAGGATGACATGTTCCTGCAACCAGGCTAATTAAGGAATTTTAAATAGTCTGCTCTATTTCCTTGTGTAATTGGAATGGCCCATTCCCTCCCACAGAAGTCCTGGAGATAGATTTCCCTGAAATATTGGAGAACCTTTGGACCCCACCCTGACAGAGCACCAGATTTATAAGGGAGTTGAGAGTGATTGCCAGCTAATGCAATATTAAAATATCTCCTTTATTTCAGCACGGAGGTGGCTCCCAGATTTCCTGTGGTATCACAAAGTTATTTTGAGGGGTGGGATAGAGCAGCAAGGACTTGTGTGCTCAGGCAACTGCCAGATAAATTAGGGAGAGCTCAGAAGATTCAGATGTGAGCCTGGGAAGTGGATTAGATTTCAAATACTGCATCAGACAAAAACTGAGCGAGGCTGCAGCTCTCCGTCGGTATTTCACAGATCTGTAAATGTTTTTTTAAAGATGCTCAATCCAACACTTAGCTGGCTATAACAAGGACTTAAGGGAGCAAAAGGCTCTTTTTTCTTTTTTCTTTCTTTTGCTCTGTTGCTTCATTAGCTCTGGGAACGCTGGTTCCATTACTGTGAGTTTTCCTGTATAATTTAAGAAAATAATGAAAGCATGCATATTTTCCTCAGTATTCTTGGCATTAAATCTGTCTTTAGATTTGTTTAGCTCCTTTTTTTAAAATATATATATATACACAGTGTGGGCTGGTATCCTTTTGAATATTTCAGAACGGTAGAAATTGTTTTGGGTTGTTTTTATTTGAGATAGAAGTTGGTTTGTTTTTATTTTTAAGATTAAAACATGAAAAAAAAAATCATTGCTACAACCCATAAGTTCCCATTGCTGTGTGGCAGTGGAATCAGTGCATGAATTTCACAAAAATATCAGTGCTCCATGTTTGCTTTCTTCTCTCGCAAGCATCCATGAGAAATACTGTGCTGTGAAAGGATCAGAATGAAGTAATTTTTGTGTAAACAGCACTGAGATTTAGTATGAATTTTGGGTTTTTTTCCCTTCCAGGATCAATAACTGTTTCATGTTTTTGTTCAATAGGGATGGATTTTGGAAGGCTTCCCTGAAAATCAGGAGCAGGCATGGCTGCTGCAATCATCTGGCATTTTTCCTAGGCATGTTGGTAAGCAGTTCAAGGTTTGTGTGTGATTGCATCCAGGAGGAAAGACTAGAAGGGTTTGTCTCAAAAAATCCTCAATAAATTCAGTACCAATGCTGGAGACAGTCACCAGACAGCAGAATATTTCAGTAGGGTTGAAAGTCTGAGGTAACCTGGGAGATTTTAAGCCCTGTCTTTCACAGCCTTTTCTCCTTCCACGTCAGAGCTCTGTAAATTCCATTCCCTACACCAAGTGGGTTTGAGCAGCTACAAGTGGCTTTGCTCCTGACCTCCATCTCTAAAAATCAGCTTTTGTCCTCAGGAACTAAACCAGTTCCTCATGTGCTAAACACAAATTTATGTTTCTGTTGAATTAGAGAATGTAAATTTCACCAAGTGAAGTGGAAATGTGATGATTTTAAGCTTGACCTTTCAGAGTGGGGCTGGATTCTGGCTGGTTTTGGGTGGAATGTTTTACAGACCTTGACAGCTGCCCTTGCCATAGAGGAGAAGCCACTTGTCCCAAATTGTAGTTAAAGGACCTATTTGGAATATAAAAAATTGTGTGGAATGCAGTGTGAAATGATAAATGCGGAGCTTGCCAGTGCACAGTGAACAGAATTTATCCAACTTGATGAATTGTCACTTTGGATTTGATTTGGATGATATTCAACTGCTAATGAAGAACTCAGAATCACTGCAGTAGAGTTAGGCAAAAATGTTTAATGTCTAGTACTTGCATGTATTTTTAATATACCTAATAACATCTGAAGTTGAGTTTTGCTCACAATTATATCTGTGCCACCAAGACCTGAATGAGAATCTTACAGCTCAGTCTGTCTAGTTAATCAAAAAGGAGATTGAGAGGAGATGAGATTTACTGTGTGTGAGTACCTTAATAGGGAGAAAAGTGCCTGAAAAAGCCATTTAATACAAAGAAAAAAGTCATAAAAAGAACTTGTTTGAAACCTGTAATCAAATGCACTGAAAATAGTAATTAAATTACAGTGTTTAACTGCAAGGATGATTAGCCAAAAGCAACCCAGGGAACTGACAGGTTCTTCATCCTTTGATGCTTTCTAATCAAGTTTGAACACTTTTCTGTGAGGTTATATATAAAAAAAATCAGTTTCATTGCTCTCACCACCAAAGAACCTGAGTGAAAAGTAATGTTTGTGGTGTAGAAGAGAATCAGTCTTGAGTGCTCAGTGGGAACTTCTGTCTGAGGCTCCAGAGACAATTTTTTATTGCTGCTGGTGATGTTTTTTGGGTAATGGGGACAGTTAGTGCCCATGGGTACTGGATTCATGGATATTTTATCCCACTGTATTGTTTAGTAGGTGAAGCAAAATTCTGATTAAAAGTGAAGTAAAATATTTGCAGGGAGAATGCTGGGAAATGAAATGAGCTCAAGATAAATTCAGCCACCTTTAATATTAGGCTACATCTGAACAGTTACAGGGAATAAAGCAAATAATTAACAAGAGTTACATTTTTAATTTTTTCTCCTTTTCCCTTTTTGTTGCCTAGTTATGCTCTATGCCCCAGACACTGTGCTGATTGAGAGGAGTGGTGGGAAAAGGCTGGATCCCCTCACACAAGGTGCAGTATTGTTTGTTCCTGACCTCCACTGCAGACTGCAGCGTTGCTTGGTCTCACAAACATTGTAGTACTACTAATGGGGTTAAATTTAAATGGGATCCCTTTAAGAACTAGTAGGAATTTTTAATTATAAATTTCAGCTGTTTGGAAATGGTATTTGTTGATATTGTGTTATTTTCAGTGCCAATAAAATACAGGGAAATAAAAGGCTCACTGTTGAGCCTGCAAAGAGTGGACTGTGGCAGTACAGAATATTTAAAGGTTAGATCTGTCCATGTGAGTTTATAATTTTCCTGTGCATCTCTGCTAGGTCCTGCTTTGTTTCTGAGTTGCAAGGATGCTCTTAGGGTAAATAAAATAATTTCCATTAGATTAAATAAAAGCATTTCTATTAAATAAAATAAACTGTCAAATCAACTCAGCTCTGTATTGTCTATTGAGTTTTATCATCAATCATCCATCACGAGATAGAATCCTGACATAGCTCAATAAAAAAATCAGACTGGATGTTTTGAGGAGTGGAATGAAGAGGGACATTTTTAATTAGAGATCTGTTAATTCATGCTCTCAGCTCCTAACCATGTTCCCTGCAGAGGTTTTCCACACAACCTTTGACTGGCCAAGTGACCCCCAGGTGCAGCAGAGACTGGTGAAACCAGAAGATCTCTCAGAGCAGGAGGTGTCCAGGAAGCTGCTGGAATATCACAGAAACTTCCCCGAGATTTTCCACATCTACCAGAAAGTTCTGAAATCCATCAATGCAGACCAGCCCTCCGTGGATGTTCTCTCTCAGGGTAAATGTGTGCTTTGTGGCAAGTAGAGAAAGTCCTGTTGGAGGGCTGGTTCCTGGCTGTTAGAGTCACTTTGTAGGATTAGGCAGCACAGATGGCTCCCAGCTGAGTTGTGCTCTCTCTAGAGCAGCATTTGGGCTGCTCCTGGTAATTATTTTACTGGAGTAAGTGCAGATAACTGGAAATTCTCAGCTCACAGCCCTGCCAAGGAAGAGCTGACTCAGTAGAGCAAATGTCACCATCATTTCTGTGAGTGTCTCTTCTAAAAGGGAGCCCTGTGGCTCAATTGTTCATCTCCCAAAGGGCCAGTACCTTCCAAAGTCTGAGAACAACAAGGAGGAGTAGTTCAAAGCTGGGAACATTTCATTGTTTAAAAGCTGTTTGTGCTGGGAGCTTTCCTGTTCATCAGTTCTTGTTTGCCTTTGCTAGACTGTAATGCAGTCTGACTTTTAATGTTGATCCTTCTAGAAGAGAATAAGGAAACTGCCAGAAAGACCAATTGATGTACTTTGTAGCTGTCAGTCTGCAGATGATCTCTTATATCCCAGTAATTTTGCATCGCAAAAAGGTCTTTTTTTTTAATAACAAGTGCTGCACTTTTAAGATAAACAAGTAGGAAGTTTATATTCTGAATTTCCACATTAATTACCTCTAAATTACTTAATTAAATTTAAAAGTTCATATCATCATTCATAAAGAATTCATGCCTTGAATTGTAAATAAAAATGTGAGTGCCTGAATATTAATTATTATTAATTAATAATGTAGTGAGATAAATTGAAAACTGGAATGAAAAAATCCTCTCTAGATCTTTTTTCTGCAGTGCATCAAGCAGCCAGATTTTTTTAAAAGAATAATTAGATGTGGAGACTGTCTAGGGGATCATTACTCCTAATTAACTTGGTTATTTACTGCAAATTAAGCATCATTTGTAAGCAGGGTGCTTTGCCTGTAATGTTTGTGCTTTTCAATACACTGGGTTGTGGAAAATGTTCAGAGTAACTGGAGCACTGCTTGGGCAGCTGATACTCAGGGTTTAGGAAGCCATGCAGCAAACACTATTTTCTAGTAGGATTTTCCAGGGTTTTTTGTTTAGATTTTTATTGCCCCAGCTAGCATTAAAAAAAAAAAAAAAAAAAGAGGAGATCTCTCCCAAAAATGAGCAGCATTGTGGGTTGTTTCACGCAATTATAAAATGTTGTGAAGCAGTTGCTGCTGCCCTGCTGTGGGAATGACCCCCACTGCAGCTGGGCAGTGCAGGATCCCAGCTCTGCAGGAGCACATGGATGCAATCCCACCTGGCTACAGTTTTAGTTTCGGTCTGCTATGTTGAAATTACAGTTTTCTGGAGGTGTTTCTTGATTAGAAAATATTTTCTCATCATACCAAAGCGTTAAAGGGAGGGTTCCCTGAAAAATTGTTGGTGCAGAGCAATGTTTTGACAATGGCTCCTGAAATCCTGATCCTCAGGGTGTTCCCCACCAATCCTTTTGTGCTTTTTAGTACAGCTTATGACTCATACAAACAGTCATGTTTAAGCTTCTCCTATTCCTTAGCCTAAAATTCTTTTTTTATTAAAGGACTCTTTAGAGAGTCTTGTATTGGAACTGAAGATCTCACAAAAACAGAGGCTGCAGCTCACCTGGGCTCACCTTTAGCTGTATCCACTGCAATCCCAGGGGATTCAGAGCCTGTGCAGATGTGTCCTGGCTGCTTTGGGCATGGCCAACCATGGCAGGTGGGATCAGTGCCAGAAAGTTTAGCTTTGGAATTTGACTGATCCCTGGAAAAGCCTGTATGGCTTGAGCTGCTCCCTTCTCTGGCATTCTCAGCCATCAGATGGGCACAGCTATGTCCAAACACAACCCCAGTTTGTCCTCACTGCCGGTGCTGTGACATCTTTTGGCTTCTTGGTGATCTCTCAGGTTCTCTTTTGGGATTGTGACCAAGTCCAGGTCTCTATGATGTGACAGTGCTGATGATGCTTCACATGTCCCGTGGTCTTTCCAAACCTGCAGGTTGACCTGAAGGTGCTATTTCCTGCTTGAAGCAAAATTTAGGAGGATGGTGTCCAGCAAATGGGTGGAACCAGGCAGAGAAGCTCAAATATTCTTTACAAGTTACACAAAAAGGATGGGTAAAAGAATAAAACATCCACACTCAGTTCTGCTTTGTCAAGGCTGAGCAGTGTCATGACACACTGTGCTACAAGTCTATAATATTGTAATTAGGAGTCTTAATCACACACAGCTGGATAAATGTCATTAATTTAACATCTCAAGTTTTTACACTTAAATATTTGTTCAGAAACTGCAGAAAGTATTAAATGTAATTACAGCCCTCTATAATTTGCATGGTAAAATTGTAGCTATCAAGCAAAAATTACTTCTGCTAAAAACAACATGGTAAGAGAGCAATTATTAATTGATTCTGCTCTTTAAAATGGTTTGACAGGCACTGATGAAAGACAGAGGAGTGTAATGATAGTGAGATTTCTAAAATGCCTCTCAGAGTGAATTGCTGACAGGACAGTTTTATATCAGTGTCCTGATTTTGGGTGCAGAGTCTGGATGTTACATTGATAAAATAAACCACGATCAACATTTTTCTTTAAAGAAGAGAGTAGTTAATAATTTTTTTTTTTTTTAAGAAATGAGTTAATGTTTTGCTTTTCTCCCTGTTGCAGTTCTTGCCTTTGTCCAAACCCGGCACAGATCTGCTGCCCCCTTCACTCCCCGGGTTCTCTTTTTTGGCCCCCCAGGCAGTGGGAAGAGCCTGCAGGCAGCACTAATAGCTCAGAAGTATGATCTTGTCAACAGTAAGTTCTCAGTAAACATGCATTTTGCTCAATTCCCCCTTTCTCTCTTTTTGATCATTTATCTTTTGCTGTCTTTCTTACCTTTGTCCATTGCTGTGGATGTCAATTCTTTGAGGGAAGTGAAAAGTATTTGAATGAAGAAGTGTAAACCAAGTATATATGCTGTGACAAACCAGCTCTAAGGTTTTTTTTAGTCATCATTTCATCATTTTTATACCTTTTACATCTGTATTTTTCTATTGTTAGACTCCTGCAGTGCTCTGAATTCTTCTGTGGATCAGTGGATCATGAGTAATGATTTCAGTTTCAGCTCTCTGACCAAAATTGGGGCACTTTTAAAACATAATTCACTCTGAACTTTAGTGAGGTCTCAGGCTCTGCACAGCTCAAGTAATGTGTGAGAAAATGAAGGAATTAGTGAAAAGTGTATCATCTTTCTTCTGTAAAGGAAGTCCAGAAATTTCTGCATGAGACTTGTTCATGATTATCATTTAAATGTTAAAAAGTTCTGTATATAAAAGTGCAGCTTGGTGGTAGCATCAGTGCAGTAATTTCCATGTTCATAGTGTCTTCTAGCAGTGGAGTGGCCATAAATTATTTTAAACAAATGTCTGCTAGCTGTAAAATTTGCTGATTAGTCACATCATGCCAGTTAAGCAAAAGGCAGTTCTGGTAGAATATTTCTGCTGTCAGTTATTGTGCCATTGCTGTATTTTAAAATACCATGTGAGAAACTAAATATTTGTAGATTTTTTCAAAGCTGTATTTTTATTAATTATGTAATTGGTTTAAAGAAAACAAATCATGCTTGATTGTAATAAAAATTGTGGTCCTTTTTGAATTTTTTTCAACTTTTTTTCTAAAACTGCAGGTTTCATAGTGTTCCATCTAGGTCAAAATTTGCTTTTTTTTTTTCTAAAGTAACTACAATATGAGAGAGTTGCAGCTCTTTTTATTAAAAATCATTACCAGTGCTTTACCCATATGTTGAATTTTATTTTAAGTATTCTATAACGCAAATATTAGAAAAATTAAGTGTTTAATACAGAGCTGGAATACCATCACTTTTCAGAATAATATTCAGCACACACTTAATTACTATTAGGCCATTGGGCATGAAGCTCAGGCTCAAAAATTTAAATCTATATTTAAATAGTCTCATGAATTGGGTTGAATTTAGGTGTGTACTCATTAGGTGTCTTAAATTGGGGTCTGTGCACTGAGTTTCTGTTGTGTTTTTTACACTATTTATTATGAATATGAATTTGCTTCTCCAGGACAACTGGTGACTGTTCAAATTGTCACTTAAACATTGAATTTTATCAGCTTTGTCCCAGGAGCACTGCTGGGGGGGTTGGCCTGGCAGTGTGATTAACAGCAATAAACTGATTAAAGGGCTCCATCTCCTCCCATCAAAGGCAGTTCCTGTCAGGGCTATTGATTCCAGGAAGAAAGGAATCAATTTAGGATTATTAATTGAATAATCTCCAGGGGGAATTATAGCTAATATTTTTACCAGATTGGAGTTGTAGCCAGGATTTCTGCTGTTGTGTGACCTCTCCATGTCTTGGCTCCCTCCCTCACCTGGGCAGCCACTGCTCTCCAAGGCCAAACCAGGAATATTTCCTGTACAGCTCAAACCTGAAATCTGCATCTCCCGGTGTTCTGGGTGTGTTTGAAATCAATGATAATATTGCATTAGCACAGTTTTTTTAAATGTAATCCTTACATGATCATTAAATGATCCAGGGAGGCCCTTCCTGAGCTGAGCATTATGCTGCACCTCCAGCAGCGTGCTTCAGATGCTGTTCAGCAGCTGGAACTTCATTCAGTAATTACAAGTTTATAAAAAGTGAAAGCCACTAGCAATCCCTTGAGTTGTTATTTCAGAAATATATTTGATTAATATCATTCTCTCCATTTTTAATATGTTCTTTGCCAAATATATTCTTTTTTTTTTCATTCCATACCCTCATTCTGCTTGCTTTTCACTCTGCTTGGCCAAAAAACCCCAACAAAACCCTAACAACAAACTCAAAAAACATACAACTTTTATTTTATTCAGTGACCTTATTCCAGTATGCAGCTTCTGGGTTCCTTTCTTTTCTTTTCTTTGTTGCCTCCTTTTTAAAATTTAACCTTGTGTCTTTTTTGTTCTTCCTTCCTGTTAGTTTGCTGTGGGCAACTGCTAAAGGAAGCTGTTGCAGACAACACAAAACTTGGAGAACTCGTTAAGCCTTACATTGACAGTGGATGCCCAGGTAGGGCACATTGTTGTCTCATTACACTGTAGTTACAAATCTGTAGCAAAAACCAAATTGTGAGTGAATTTTTGTTGGTCAGATTCTAATCAGAGTAGCCTGAAAGTCAATTAATTCCATTTATTCCATGGGGTTTGTAGCATTGTGTAACAGAAGTTGGATTTCTAAGGGTTTTTTTATATCCTCAAAGCAAATATTCACTGCTCCAGCAAAATTCAGATTTCTTGTGCACATTCTGAAATCTGAATTCCATATTTTAATCTCTAATTAAATCTAAATTAAAATTCTGTATCAGTTCAAACTCTTTTTAAAGCACACCGTTGTGTCAAACTGCTTTCAAAGCACAATAATATTGTGTTCTATTTTATATTTGGATGTTGACTTTTAGAACGCTACCATAGTTTCTTTCACTTTCATGTAAATATTTTAAAGTTTCTTTATACTTCATTTCTATCAGCATTTTTGGTCGTGGGAGGGGACTGCCACAACAAATACTGAGTATACTTTGCTTTTGGAAAATTCTGCAGGGATTTCAGATAAATCAAAAATACTTTGAGCTCCTGAGGGCAGCAGCTTCACCCTGTCTGTCTGTTCCAGTTGTCCTGCTGTCTGTGTGTGGTGGGTGTTAGAAATCAGAGAATATCTGGAATTAAAGAGGACAAGTCATGTTGCAGGAGTGTGGAAGAATGTTTATTTTGCCCAATTGCAATGGCCTGGAAGAGGAACTTTTGGGAGCAGCACAAATGGTTTCCAGTGGTACAAACACCAGGAGACAATCGTGCTGAAGATGGGGAAATCTCTGTTAAACTTCAGTATTAATGGAATTTTGAGCAAAGCCCCCCAGAGCAAAGAGAAAAATCTGTGTTGTCCTTTATTTTTAGCAAAAATGTATTTGGTAAGGTGAAAAGTTTGAAAATCTCTTTTGTTTTTTGCACAAAAGCTTAATTCTGAATTAGAGGCTGAATTAGACAGCTCTGAAACACGAGCCTTTCAAATGAATTGAGGTTAAATCAAGGTTCCCTTGATAACAAACCCAGAGATTCAGCACTTTTTCCAAAAGATCTTTGGCAGCCTGCAGCTTTGGGGGTGCCATCCCTTTATCAAGCCTCAGGGTAATGGATTTTAACTCTGAACTCCATCTCCAGTGCATGGGTTGCATTTATCCCTGCTGCAGTCAGCAGCCCAGTGCATGCAGTGCTGGGAGCTGCTCTGGGGCCATGGCAATGCCCAGCAGGAACCTCTGCAGCCTGACAGGGGAAATTTGGGTCCTCTGGAATGGGCACAGAGATGTAGGAGAGGATTTCCTGAGTTTGACTCAAAGGCAGGGGATCTCAGAGTGTGGTGTGCAGGGGATCCGGGGTCTCCAGGTGTGGCAATAATTCTGTGAAAAACACCAATCACTTCTTTTTGAAATTTTAAAAGTTTAATAGTAATAAAATAGTTATAAAAATAATAATATAATTAGAATAATGAAATTTGAACATTTGAGGTTAGGACAATATGAGACAATAAAAACAAAGAGATACAGAGGTCCGGGTACCTTTTCCTGGGCAGCACAAGCCCGAAAAAGGACACCCGTTAACAGAGGATTAACCCTTAAAAACAATCATTGCATATTCATACATCTCATACATGATGCATAAATTCCATTCAAACACAGGATTCTGTCTGGTCACTGTCAACTTCTTCCTCTTAATCCTCATGCTGCCTTCCAGTCGGAGCGAGGTGGGAAGAAGTTAGTTTTCTGCTGATAAGGGAGCAATAAATTCCCTTTCTCTGAAAGATTTAGGTGTCCTGTGGCTTCTATCTGGTGTGAGTCCTTTTTAAACAAATATCTTACATAGCATAGTTTCTACTCAAACATTATGTTATAAACCAAAACTATAAGAAAATTAATACACCATAACTTTCCAACATACACATACAATATTCATTTTAATACTTGCGAAAAACCAATCATAAAATACACATTTTTCACAATTCCTTCCTGTGATCTGGTTTGACCAGGGTGTGGCTGGTTTTGAGTGCAGTTTAACTCCCACATGGAGATCCTTTCAAGCTCTAGGCCTGACTTCCATGGTGCCCATTGATTTCAGAATCTTATGTGCATGCTGTAATTTCACTGTCTGCTCTTCTCTGTGCAGAGGAGGACTGTAAATACCTCACTCTCTAAATTTCAGTTATGGCTGAGGTGGGAGTTTGGATGATCTGTTTATTCCAAGCTAGCTCCTTTAAGAGCTTCCTTTTCTAAAATGTTCTTTGTGTGTTTTATAAACTCCATCTTAACCATTAAAGTTCCTTAAAGGAGATGCATTCCCAGTAGAGTAAAATAATTGCACAGATCATAATTTTTTGCCAGTCCTAAAAATATGCACATCCTTAGTCCAAGGAAGCTGCTTTCATTTCAGGAAAATGAAATTGAAGTTGTAATTCCTTTCTTCCTCCAAATTAGAAATTATTTCAGATTTAGATTAATTTTTTTAATACAGCATGCACAGAAAAAGCTGTAGAACACTTCTGAATATTAATAGGGATCATAACTATATTTCTGTGCATTATGCTAAAAATTCTGCCTTAGATTTGCTGATATGCACATATATATTTTATTTGGTGGGACACAGCACAAAATTAAGGGCTGAATAAAGATAAATATCATCCAGCAAAACCAGAAATAATAAGTTCTGTCATTTTGCTAATCCTCCTCTCCCAGGGATAACAAAGAATGAATTTACATTAGTAAACACTAACAAGAATTCATTACTGCCCTCACAAGAGGCTTGGAGAAAATGGAATAACACAGGGTACTGAAGAGGAAAGGTGGGCAAAGAATCTTTGCATCTTTGCTCTCTTGCTGCAGCCCAGGTTAAAACAGGGGAAAGATTCTCCTGCTATGATTGACTGCAGTCAGTTCCCAGAAAATCTCACTTGCAGCCAATAGCAGACAGTGTTGGAAGTGGAAAAGCAATTAGAACTTCACCCTTTTCATTGCATTTCTGGTTGTTGAGAGGCTTAGCTGTGCCTGTGGGTGGGGAATCCTGCAAGTGACATTCCACAGAGCAGGGGAACCAAAGGCAGACCAGGAGAAATGTTGTTCTCAAATCATTACTTGTCAAAACGAAAGCAGTGCCATAAAATCTTGAGGGCATGCCTCATATATTCTTAAAATGCTCCCCCAGGGGACTGATCTCAGCGTGTTTCCCTTCTTGTGGACAGCACTGATTGCACACAATTAGTCACTTAAGATGTGCCAACAGGGCGTGTTGTGGTGCTGTGAGGAGGCTCAAAGCCCTGCCTGTTCAGAGCTGACTCTTTATTGGGTTTTTGAGGCTGCCCACTGCCTGTTCTGCTCCAGCTCTGCTTGGATAGCTCACATCTCTTCGTGGCTTTAGGGTCCATCCACATTCTTGGTGCTGTTTTTCCTGTATTCCTGCTTCATGTATTTCCATGTATTTCAGGAACAGCCCAGACAATTCTGTTATTCACCCCAAAAGGCAACCCAGTATCCCCACTGTCTGTATTTTCTCATGTTTGGTGTCTCATGAAGACCTGCTTTTTGTCAAAATCCTCAGTTTTGTGTATGGTGATTTATTTTACCTAATGAAGACAGCATAGATATTTTTAAGCCCATTAATTTTTTAATTCCCATGACATTCTAGTCTACAATAGGTAGACAATCTACACTCTAGATATGGAAAAATGCATTTTTGGTGATAAGTTCAGAAACCTGACAGCTTTCTGCCTGTCATAAACACTGAGTTGTGCTTTGGACAAACAACCAGTCTGAAATGCAGAGAGTGTTCCTTTAGGAAGGTGTGGTCTCACTGAGTACTGGGTAGTTATTATTAACTATACTTGGGCAGAAAATCACCAACATTGGAGTCTAAGACCAATCTTCTGGTCCCTAACTCCAGTTAGATTAACTCTTGGTCAATAATGCTAAATTCAGCACACACCATTTGCTTGGGCAGCCTGGGAAGAAATGGAGTTAGGGGTGAGTGCAGTGGCCAGAACCCTCCCACAGGCAGCAAGAGAAGTGCCATAAATTAATTTATTTGGTTTGATTCCTTCTGAAATGTTCTGAGGAGGCAGTTCCATAGACTTGGGCCTCCCCTGGACAGATGAGACCCCACAGGCCTGAAGGAGACCTTTAAACAGAATTCCTGTCCTCAGGTTGCTCCAATTCTGAGGGCTGGACATGATGTCTCACTGAAAACATGGACAAACATTAATTAAAAGTTCCATCTGCATGATCTTTGTTCACCATCTTAGAGATGTCTGTCAGAATTTGATACCCTGAGAGAACAAAAAAAAAATGCAGAAAGCATTTTTTATTTCCCCACCTAAATGTCCCTGATGTTTGCACTGTATTAATGAAAGGACAAGCAGAAGCATTTTGGGGGTACCACAGAGATAGGGAAGGTCATCAGTCAGTTGGAATCTGCATGTCAGTCTGTCCAGTTTTGTGGTGAAATAGCATGGAGTGATCACTGCTAATTAATATATCACTTTGTGAGGCTGTAATAAATAGAGCCAAGAAGAGTGAGATGACAGGAAAGCAGCATGAAGGAAAAAACCACTCCCAAACCAGTAAGATTCTGCTTTTCAGCTGGGAGAACTGCTGTTAGTTTGGGTGATTGGGTTTTTTCCCACCAAAATGAAGATTCAGGAGGTAAGAGAAGTGATTCATGGAACACACATAACGTTGCACTGTTTGCAGCCTGTTAGAGTTGAACACACACAATCTGTGTTGGTTATTTCCTCTCCCTTCTTCTATTTTTTTTTAAGTTGTAATATCTGAAGCTGTCCCCAATGGCAGCCTGCACGTAGGGGGTAAAATCTGGAATTCCCTAATTTCTCCTGTTTTCTAATAAAAACTATTACTCGTACAAATACAGCTCTCCCCTTATTTTAAACTGCAGTGGTTTTAAAGGGGTGCTTTTTGGTGCAGCCTCTGAAAGTTGGGGTCCCCTGGCGATTGTGATCACAGTCTCACTGAAAAC